TTACTAGTAGTAACAAGAAGCTACTAGTAACAAGTGCCTTACTAGTAATAAATTAATAGCTTCTTGTTACTACTAGTAAGGCACCTGTTACTACTAGCGTGGCACTTGTTCCTAGTGGTTGAAGTGCCTACTAGGAGCAAGAAGTGGTTCTTCAACCCGTGAGCGTGCATAGACGAAGCGCGTTTTCGGCCATTTCTCTAGGCTCAGCGATTACATGTCGGACGCTTCGCGCTGCTCGGTCAGAGTGTGGGCACGCGCATGCTGACTCAGAAAATTAACATGTTTTGCCTCCACCACTTGGTTTCTTGTTTTTGAGACGCCTTTCAAGTGTTTCAGTTTGACCCGTTTGTGGTCAAGGAGCTTCTTAGGAAGAAGTGACTTGAAACTGCGATTCTTTCCAAAGTAGCTACTTTATCCACTGTTCAAGTGGTGCATGTTATCCATTGAGGCGGTTCCTTGCAGCAGCGCCAGGAGGTCTTTCGCTACTATGGCACCTTCTCGAAGAGCCTTCGGCGAAAGCTTCCGCCTCACAATAAGCCTTAACAAGAAGAGCTCATATTGCATCTTGTAGCCTTCATGTGCTGAGTTGAAGGGGCGTGTCTATTTCTCTTGGTTTGCTCGTGTTTTTGTGTTGCAACATTGATGCAGGTCGGTGCCGTTCACACAAGAATATCATTTGTCCGCTAGGCGCCACATCCGTGCACAACACTGCTAGCGGCGCATGTGCCCGCCATTTCGGTCTGCAGAACATCAAAACACTGTATGGCGACAGCCAAGCAGTTTCCCAGCCTAGGACCGCTCTCACGATGTTCGAGGCAAGGTGATGTGCTCAACACAGCGTTTGTTCAGTGGATGGGTTTCTCCAAGCACTCTTACGTTCAAATTTGGTCAAATTGGACTTCAAAATTTGCTGTCCAACGTTTGCAGGAGTTGATTTTCCAATATCCGAGATGATGCTGACTTGCCAGGTGTTATTTGCCAACTGGGCCCCGGCATGTCGCGTGCTCGTTGACAACGTCGGCAAGCCTAAGTATGTGCAAGATCGCAATTTGTTTGGCCAAACGCTTGGTTGGTGGTGCTTGATAAATAATGTGAATGTTGATAGTGGTGTCGTTCCAAAGTTGAAGAAATATTGAAATACTGAGTCATTGATCCTAAAGGGCAACAGGCAACACAGTTGCCAAGAACTCAGTAATCCCAAGGTCAGCGAGTGGTATTCCATCGCTTTCATCCTCTACCGACACTTCTCTTGGGACCGGGTCGGCCGAATCAGTGCCTGTAGCATGTTAGTCTGTTAGTTAGTTGCGAGCTGTTAGTTATTTAGGATCTCATCGTTCGTGTTCGGCTCGCAAGATTGGCACAGTGGGCCGGGGCATGGTGGTTGGTAAGTCGTCAGACGGCAGATGTTTACTTCAATCGTACAATGGTTTGTCTAGGGGAAGGACGGGTGGGGACTTTGAGCGGGTGCTGTGGCATCGAACATGCAAAAGAAGTAAGCAGTAAGCACAGTGCCTGATGGATTTTGGGTGACCAAAGGCAGTGGCCAGGGCCAGGGATTCTATTTTGTTTGTTTGTTACCTAGACACCTGGAAGTTTCTGCTCGGCAAGCAAGTGATCACCGGATCCTAGACTAGGGTCTGATAGAAGCTTGCTGATTTTCGGTGTAGGTGTAGCTGTGAAACTGTGCACGTCCAACTGAGGATGTTGTGTGGGCTTCGCGGTGCTTAATGTGGTCAACGCAGGGGGGCCCATGGGATACCTGTGCGCTGTTGCTTTTCGCGTTTTTTGTCATGGCGCGTGGACCATGGTTTCCTTCGGCCAGGAGCCCCTAGTAGCGATGCCAGGGGCTAGGGGCTTCTTGTTACTACTAGTAAGGCACTTGTTACTACTAGTAAGGCACTTGTTCCTACTAGCTTCTTGTTACTCTGGAGTGTTCTTCGGCGAATTCCGAAGGCTTTCGCCTCACCGTTCGACGCGGCGTGAGGCCGTCTTCGTGCAGAGCACCATGAGGGTGGCTTCGGTAGACGAGGAGCTCGTGGCCGCTGAGAAGGCAGAATGAGCAAAATGAAGAAAAAGACAGAAGTCACAGGGGGTAGCATCAAATTGAGGGTAGCACTAGCTAGTCGCTAGCTTCCACTTTCCACAGACCCCACTCCTGTAGAAAGAGTTTATTGGTGAAAAGAATTGTTTATTTCGTGTGGCACGGGGGCAATTCCATGCGTTGGGGGGTGTTGTTGACGTGAACTTTGCGCTTCTAGATTTTGGAGACCTTCGTTCACCAAGTCGTTTTTATCCGTGGCCTCCGCAGGCAAAGGCTCAGGCAGCTTACACACGCAGAGATGCTCGGTTGAAAAAGGTTTTGCGGAAACTTACAAGGAGGAGACGACAGTGATGGTTCTAGCAAACAATTTCTGTCAACCTGTGATTAATCAGTGTTGGGCTCGGGTTCTGAAGAAGGTGCAATGAGCGGATAGGCGCCTTGGGCCGAGGTGAACGCTCTTTTCAGCGAAGCTGACACTTCAGGAGCGAGACGGGTCACGACTTGGGAACTGGCTTTGGGGTGTCAGACTTGACGCCATCGAACCATGGAGAGGTTTCATGTGACTTCGGCTTGTAGTGGCTCCAACAAGCACAAAAGCCATTGACCATGCTTTGACAGGTCCGAGACACACTCAGTACTGTTCCAACAACCCTAGTAGTGATGTTTGAGACCTCTGAATTAGCTTTTATCGGTGGGAAGTTCTCTGTAAAATGTGATGGGGCAAAGGCATAGGGTGCATAGTTTCCGAGTGGTGTGGGGCTTTGCGCTGGGCAACTCATGGCCGCTTGGTTTCCGATCTTGGTGCCTTGCTTACAGGCAATGGGGCGCTGGACTTGGAAGAATGCCGGCGGCTGCTGGACCATCCACAGCTCCAGGCTGGCCCAAGTTTGAGTTAAACGATGCCCACACAGGCTTGTGGGAAAAAAGGAAGAGGAAAGACTGAAGGTCCAAAGGTCCAAGGTCCAAAGGTCAAGAAACTGAAAAAGTGAAGGAGAAGAAACAACAACGAAGTGAATGAAGTTGTTCCTTCTTGAGCAACTGAATCTTTACACCATCGCAGCAGCGGCGCCAGTTGTGGCTCCACATGCTTGAGTTGGACACTCCAGAAGCTTGTCGCCAGATGAGGCCTAAAGCCCAAACAGAAGATGTTTTAACAAAGAGAAGGGGCCTTATACATCGATGCAGCCAGCTAGATTTTGTCGAATAAAAAAGGTTCCTCAGTTTTGCTCTGTGAGCTTTGGATTGTTTCCGTTTCGGGCTCGTTCCCAACATAAGAAAGAAAACACTTGAGCTTTGGCCTGCCCAACCATCCTTTGTTGACAGCCCCAAAATCTTAGAATTGCTGTTGATTAGCCTAAAGCTGGCAAATCCCGGAACTGAAAGAGGGCTAAGCGTGCCTAGCCTTTCACACCCAGCTCGGGATTTGCAAGTGTTCACAGACTGAAAGTTTATCCTAAACGTGCTGCCGCATTCGCAAGCTGCATGTTCGCATGGATCATTTCAGCCTGGAGCAATGTTCGACGTTAGGGCCCCTAGTCAAGAGTGAGATGGCTTGAAGTTCTGGTTTTGCTTTGCTAAGGACTTGGTGGGTCTCTTTCACATGCTTGATGATGGCAAGGGAGAAATCTCCTTGGAAGCTTTGATGCAACTTGCCCATTTGGTTCCGGTCACATGAGCATGATTGTTGGTCTAGCACCTGAGCTTTTGATCAGGGGCACCTGGCGACAAGCAACAACTGCCGATGGGTATACTTCATCTCTCACCCTTCGCTCAGGTCGATGACGCGTTTGTAGCGGTTTAGAGTGTTGGGATGAGCGCAGAGTAACTTGAATATTGCATGAACGGTGGAGGACAAAGGTGCAAGTGAGTCACTCCGCATCACCTCATGTCAAGAGCATGTTCGTCGCACACTTGACGCGAGTGTGCACGACCCGAGTGACTTTCCATGTCCACAGGAAGCCTGCTTCAGCCCGGACCAACAATTGCTTAGAATCAGTGATAGCGAGCGCCTGCGCCTCCACCACAGAGGTGCTCAATTGCCCCGCTGCAGACGCACTCAGCATGGATCCCCAACAGCACTTGTTGACCTCGCTCTTCTCTTGTCCCACCCGGTAGACAAGAATGAAGACAACGGCGGAGACCCAACAAGAAGCATGCCGATGACAGTCAGACAAAGAAGAGGCATATCTCGAAAGCCACCGCGAGTTAGGATAGTTGGGAAGGAGAGAAAGGGAGTGACAACAAGAAGCTACTAGTAACAAGTGCATCGCTACTAGGAACAAGTGCATCGCTTCTAGTAACAAGAAGGCCAACAATTGAGGACGAAAGGAGTGAGAGTCACCAAGCATGTCGATTGTTGCACCTTGAAGTGAGGGGGTGCGGATGTGATGAGCAAGCCTCTGCTTCAGAGGGGATTGAATGATTTCTCCATCTAGTAGCGTCCTTGCTTCTAGTAGCGATGCACTTTGTTCCTAGTAGCTTCTTGCTACTAGTAGTAAGGCCAGGAGCCCCTAGTAGCGTCCTTGCTCCTACCCCGCCCCCGCGCGTGCGCGCGCGCATGTGCGCGCGAAAAGGTCCTAGTAGCTTCTAGTTTGAATTCTAATTAAATTCTTATTAGATTTAATTGAATGTGTATTCTAATTCTATCTATTTCTAGTTTCTAATAGCAAGCATTGTTACTAGTAGTAAGGCCAGGCCCTAGTAGCGTCCTGGTGGCAGATGTTTCGCCAAGCCTCAGAGGTGGTCGCTAGGAAGGTGACTGCGTGCCTGAGCCTTTTGCCCTAGCGCACGAGGCATCGTGCATCTCAATAGGTTTCTGCTCGTTGCCAAGGATGACTTGCAAGAAGGAGTGTCTTGTCTGAGAAGTGGGCGATTCGGTGTTGTTTGGAGTCTCCACCTCCAGGCCCCAATAGCCCAGCGATGTAGACGAAGCTGCTGCCGCAGGGTTCTTTGCCGTTTTAGAATTGCATGCCCAAGCCGTTTATGTGAAAAACCGTTGCTTTAGGGCAAGGCAATCAGCCCAAAGTCTTGCGCAAAAAGGGGGTTGGGAGGCTTTTGTCAGTGAAACCTGTACTTATCACGACGTGTTTGGGGCTTGTTTGTTGCCTATCCGCGCTCAGCCACCCAGTTGAAGCGGATGAAGGGCGTCGCCAAGAGTTTGGATTTGAACAAGTTACAACACGAGGCCCGAAAAGGGGACGAAAGGAGACGCTCTTCGGCGAAACGCGTAGTAGCGTCCTTGCTCTTAGTAGCGATGCCAGGAGCCCCGAACGTAGCTTCTTGTTCCTAGTAGCGATGCCCTTTGCTCCTAGTAGCTTCCTTGTTCCTAGTAGCGTCCTTGTTACTACTAGTAAGGCACTTGTTACTAGAAGCGATGCACTTGTTACTAGTAGCTTCTTGTTCCTAGTAGTATGGCCAGGAGCCCCGAACGTAGCGTCCTTGCTCGTAGGGTCTCCAAAAGGAGATGCTCTTCACTCACTCCGAGGCTTTTTGAGTTTAGGCATGTCAGTTGCGATCGGGGCTTCCTCAGTGAGCTTGATCAGTGAAACCGTGGTCTCAGCTGGTGTTTCTTGTCGTTTGAGTGCGCCAGAGTATCAGACATGATTTCCTAGGAAAGGTGCAAATTTTGTACTTGGCAGACGTCAATGCGGCGACACACAACAAAAAGCCGGGGACAAACGCACAACACCACAAAGAAATGTAGTTTGCTGCATGGTTTCTTAGGGGGTAATTAGAAAAGGGACAACTTGGCCACCAGTCCATGCTTCAGGCCCACATGTAAAGACTAAGCCAAAGCAATTCTTCGGTGAAGTCCTCCCCACCTGGCGGGTGTGTCACGCAACGCTCTGCAGGTGGCCAAGTTGCACGCCAAGGCGGGCGTCGCCAATGCGGCTTTGTGCTCAAGCAGAAAGAAACACTTAGCAAACAATATGGCGGTTTTGTCCCAGAACTTTTGCTGCCAGGTGGATGGCCTTGGCATTCAGCGTGCTACGCAACTTTGCTTGTGAGGTGTACGGCCTCTACATTGGGAACTCCAGACCGGGACGCTACTAGGGGCTCCTGGCCTTACTACTAGGAGCAAGTAGCTACTAGTAACAAGAAGCTAGTAGTAACAAGTGCATCGCTACTAGTAACAAGTGCCTTACTACTAGTAACAAGAAGCTATTAGAAACAAGAAATAGTAATTAAGTTTAATTAGAATTCAACTACTAGGACCTTTTCTACATTGGGAACTCCAGACCGGGACATTGAAGCCTCGGATCTGCGAGGTTGACACAATCGCCCCAGGAAATGGCGTCCAGAGCGTACTGCCTAGTGTCGGCGTGTTCAATCGAATGTCGGCAAGCTACGTTCGTTGACCCTGAGAATGCTTCAAAACATCAACATGTTACTTACCAAAGGAGCCATTAAATTAGCCCTCAAGTTGCACAAAGCTTGAAGTCCACTTGAGAAAAACGATGCAAATCTAGCCACCTGGTCAGAACCTTCTAACTCGGTAAGGATATTCCTGATGTCATTGTCTTTTGGCAAGCCAATGAATGTTTTGGGAATTTTGCTCAACAACGCCTCTACTGAATAAGAATTAAATTCCTTCAGGCACTGAGAAACTAAATGTTTGCAGGCACAGAATCTGAGCGGCTCGAACATTGGTGTCATTCGGAGGATCCTGATTCCAGCCGTGGTCATTCTTTATGAATAAGATGGTCATTCACCTTCATCCCGGATGGAAGACATGGATTTAAGCCATTCAGAACTATCCCGTTCTACCCCGGCAGTGCCATGGAGCCTCCAGAGCCTCTCCAAGAGATGGCATCTCTACATGGAACGTTTTCAAAAGTGCTCGCAGAAGCTGGTCATGCAATTGGCAAATCTGGAGAAGGGATCATTTGGGAGTGGGAGAGGGCCTGAGAAGTCATCAGTTTGATGAGAACAGCCTCGTGATATGTATATAGTGTATTATATATATATATATATCATGTTCACGGTCACATGTTCGGTGTTCGTGTCGTCGCTGAAATGCTGTTTCCCCCGATCTCTGTCGACCATCGTGACTAACTCCGTTTTGAAATGCACAACGTTAAGTTCCAGACGACTGGCGATGGCAACACTCCGGAGCTACCCACGTTTGGTGCGCTCGCTGTCGCCGGTGCCGGCACTGAGGAGTTGGAAGAGCTCCATGTCGCAGAGGCCCGACGATCTGGACGTGGGAGGTTCGACTTGATGCAGATCAGGTCACCATCTACAACGGATTCCGTAATCAACCACGAAATCAATTGGTGAGCAAACCCAGACCCCGCATCTGTATTGTCAGTGTGTGTGTCCCCCAAACTCTCTGAAGGGGCATTTCAAGTTCTGTAGAAGAATGGACCTATGGATGGAAGGTTGGGCATTGATCAAAATTGGTTGCAGACGCTTTGCTGTGACATCTGGGCAAAGGATAAGACAAGACAAAGCTGCCAAAAGAAACGCAAGGCCACCCTTTCCGGAGCAGCCCTTTGGCGCCTTTGGGTCACAGTTGTTTTCAACGAACGAAGGCACGAAGACGGTCGGCATGTAGGTCCAACAGCTTCAGAGTCAAGTCTGGGAGCTTCAGAAGCGTTTGGGCGAAGGCAACTTGGGCAAAGCGACGAAGCGTTTTGTGCAAAATCAGTGTCCTTTTGAGAGTGTGTCTTTGTTTCATCTATTATGATTAAAGTTATAATCTATATATTGTTTCTACCAGCTTCTTGTTCCTAGTAGTAAGGCCCTTGCTACTAGTAGCGATGCCCTTTGCTTCTAGTAGTTTCTTGTTACTGTATATCATATTTACACATTTTTTGCAAGGAAGAACTGTTGAAATGAACTTGCTCAATTTTGGCGGTGGTTCCAAGAGACCCCAGGATGACCGCTGAGATCCTGGATGTTCAATTCAGAAAGCAAAGCATTTGACCGCGCTTAAAGAAAAAGAACAGGAAGAGCAAAGCAGAAACAAGAAGCTACTAGGAACAAGTGCATCCTACTAGTAACAAGTGCCTTACTAGTAGTAACAATCTTTGCGATTAGAAACAGAAGATGAAGAGTTGCTAAGATCTTTCGAGATTGAGGCTTCGGGCCCCGGTGCGAGTCCCCAGTGAAGGCCATCCAAGCCAATCCAGCCGCATGGCGTGAAGGCCAGAGGTTTTCGTGTTTGAGCCCGCTAGCTCTCCCACTACTCAATGAAGTAGAGACTGCCTAGTTATTTAAGTAAAGGAATAAGCTACTAGACATGGACCCATGATAGCTTACACTTCTTCAAGGAAGCTCCCGCTAGGCGGCGGGGGGAGCTTCCTTTTTTTCTCTCAAGCCGGCACGACAAGGTCATCGGCAACCAACGAGCTTCCGCGTCGAAGGTCAGTGAACCAAAGAGTGACAAGAGAGAATCATCACACCAATTGTGACATCGGTGGATGCAGGAAAAGAGTAGTGGTTCGGTTCAAACCACTCAATCGGATTGCGCAGAGTGAATCTACCATATTGAATACCATTCCGAATTCGAGAACTTCTGCCAATCTGTGGAGCGGCCCCCTTCTTCACAAGTTGTGGAAGTACGGCATCGCAGATGACAGTGGAACAACAAAAATCGGGCAGCCACCCGCCACAACAAGCTCGATGTTGGACATCTCCCAACTCACTGTAACCAGGCGAGGCGCCACACCATGACTTCTCGAGGAGTGGAAGGCTTACCCCATTCCATGCAGAAAAGGCCGCAGGCCACCACCGATAGTGATGGTGAGAGGAGTTCCCACACACACCCCAGTGGAGGCATATGTAGCAGAAATGCCCGCTACCGAATACCCAGGGAAAAATTGAAAAGATCAGCCCAACAACATATTCGCAGAACCCAAGCCCGGAGGCAACATGGGAATCCACCTGATGAGCCAATGCAAAATCAGCACCACACAAACGGAGCCACACGAAGGAGATAAGATGCATCCTTCATACGCATCAGAAAACAAATGAGTGGCATTCCATGGCATGCCTCGGTGATGATGTGGAAGGTTCCACAGACGGCCCGTGTGGTCAACCCGAATCTTAGCTGGGAATGGACAATGCTAAGCGTCAACCTGCACTCCAACACAAGCACCTGCATCAAGGTCAACGTTGAGATGGTCCACTTCACAAATGAGCTCAAAGGTCGGCCACTCATCCACAGGTTCAACCAAGTTCATCAACATGGTGGTTCGGCGTACCAGCACCGACGGAGGAGCGCCACACAGTACGTCAGTGATCTATTTTCCCAAAAATGGTCCAGTCCTCATTATCGTCACGGCAATCTCCTGTAGAAGCAATGGCCTGCAAGGCCCCTTGAACTGTCGCACCAAGGGTGTCAGGCATGCCCATCGTTGCCCAGTCAACAAAGACAGCTAACGTGATCCTTTTCCTCTCGTAGTCTCCATCATCGCCATGGCACTGCAGGAGTCTGTGGAATCCTGCTCGGTCGACGCTCCACCCCAGCACCTGGTGCTGGTAGCGAAGCCGCGGCGCGTGCCGGCGCGTAAGCTGAATGACTTTGGGCCAGCGCAGCTGGGGGGAGCTTCCTTGAAGAAGTGCTCGCACTAATGATTTGGTTCCTAGATTTTTCGGGGAAACACACTTGGAGTTGCATAGCACGAGATCCGTCCGATGCTTTGTCTTTCGCATAAAATTATCATCGAAGTGACGATGTCTTACACTTCTGAAAGGAAGAGAATACTGACAAAGAGCACAAGATACAAACCACAAGAATTCAAAGAAAGCACAGAACACCTACCGATCAAAAAACCGTTCCGTTCACCTTCACCCTTTCACAGACGGCACCAAGGATTCCAATCCAAGAAGAAGCGAAATTGTGGACTCCAAGGAATGTGTCCAGTGCTTTGGATGGAAGCTGCGGATCTGAAGCTGAAGTTTTGGATGTGGGCGAAGGAAATAAGAAAGTGTGGGATATGAAGAAACCTGCAGCAAAGACGTCCCTCGACAGAGACAAATATGTACTATCCTGATGTATCCGAGGTGGTGTAGGATAACTTGCTTTGCCGGTAGGTTCCTCACAAAGATGTTATGCACAGAGCTATTGGTCTCATATAAAACCCATGGTCAACCAGTTCCCAAAGTGCAGATTCCCAAGAGTTCGTTCAATTCTGTTGGCCAATTCCCAGATGCTCTCCATCCAAGACATGTTAATTCAGAAAAATTAGGAAGAAATAAAATCCTGCGTAAAAGGGAAAATACATAAAAATGTAAAAAATAAAAATGAGTCAAATCCGAAGATCTGAAGGCGAGTCTTGCCAACCAAGGTCGGCCGAGACCAGCTCCTTGGCACCGGAGCTCTTTCAGACTCAAGACGCCCAGAGTCATACAGCTATAGATAAGTCAAGGGGGTCGTTTGGTTCCTTTTATTGTCCTTTATTCGATCATTCATTTTCCTTCATTCTAGACTACTCTGGCTTTGTTGCCATTGGAACAAGGTGAGCAAGTGGAGCAATTAGAGAAGGGAGTGGAAATTTGATCCGTTCTTTGTTTCTTATTGGGTGGGTTGGTCTATTTGTTCTTTGGGTACTTGTATGACATGATTCTGGGTGGACCCCGTTGCTACGGCCTTGGTGCGGTCAGTCTTGAACCAGTTTGGGATCCCAAGACTTTGAGCTGCACAGTCTTTGCCCAAAACCCGACCGTTTGGAGGATTTCGATGATGTTTAAAGTGCTTCTGTGTGACTTTTTCGTTCAAAAACTGCCCGATGCCTATGCATCTCAAAGTGATAGCATCGAACTGCCGACTCTGCACAGACGAACTGCACTCTGCACCTAGTAGCGTTCTTGCTCCTAGTAGTAAGGCCAGGAGCCCCTAGTAGCGAACATTGTTACTAGTAGTAAGAATGCTCCTAGCGATGCCAGGAGCCCCTGGTAGCATCCGATCGCTCCTAGTAGAAAGCGAATGAAACCGTGAAACCTCTTCACATCGAACTTCGAGGCCAAGGGGTCGCTCCCAACAGGCCCGTGTCGACGGATGCGGCCATTCAAAAGCCCTGGATGAACACTGTTCAACATCGAAACAGTTCGTTGCAAAAATGAAAATATTCTTATCTTACCGTCTTACCTCACAGTAGAGTGCACTTTGAAGTGCTCCGAGATCTAAGTTTGATCACATTTCTTGATCTCCGTTTTGTGGCCCCACCAGGGTGACATCGATATTCGGCTCGTGATAGTTGAACATGAGAACCGTGTGGGCTTTGGTGTTGAGTCAAGCTAGATCACCTACTGACTCACCAAGATCCATCCATGTGTCTCAAAGCCCTCCATTGTGGTCTCAAAAACTACCTTGGAGTTGTCAAGTGCCAGCCGACATGAATGCAGTCCCCATTCTGGTTTCCAGTTTGCCAGACTACTTTCCTTTGTTTTACTTGCTTAGATCATGTACAACCTGTCAGGTATGTACCTGTAAAATAGGTTTGCATAGGTTTACAGTAGGTTGTGTTCCAATCCGGTGGAATGAGAGTGCCAGACAAGGTCGCGACCTTCCAATTTGGGTGCCACGCTAGTAGTAACAGGTGCCTTACTAGTAGTAACAGGTGCCACGCTAGTAGTAACAGGTGCCTTACTAGTAGTAACAAGAACGCGACCTTCCAATTTGATTTTCTCACTTTGAGAAGTGACAAGCCATTTTCGATGACCAGCGCATGCCAGGAACATATCCTCGATCTCTGCTTTGCTGACAGCATCTTTGGGCGCCTGGGTGAGCGTTTTTCGTTTGGTTCTGCCAGCTTTATAGTCGTAAGATCAGTTTCGGGAGGGCAGAGCTCGGCATTTGAGGAGTGCTTCTAGTACCCCTTTGAGAGCCGACCATGCGTTGTCTTCTTTAGTTGTTTTGAATCATGTGAATGTGGAAAGCCTGAAATGGTTGGGTCTCCGCCTTGCCATGTCGGCCTTGCCTTTTGGGCTGCATCCAAGGCTCCCTGATTTGCAAAACTCTTTGTCAAACCGTCATGATGAGAAGGAACTCCTGCTTGTATTGGTCAACTTGTAGATGGTTGTCAAAGCACCCTTTTCAAGCCATCTACGATCTATGTCTATCCAGGCACGCCCATCTACACAGCAGTCACAGCAAAAAAAGAACATAACACTGGCTTCACATCCAGTGCTTTGCGGAATTCCGAAAACGGATCATGCAAAGCGGTCCATGAGATCCTTTGACAACGTTTTGTCCTTGTGGCCCGCTCGCTCTCCCCCCTCTCCCTACTACTAGGAACAAGGGCATCGCTACTAGGGGCTCCTGGCATCGCTAGCAAGGAGGCTACTAGGGGCTCCTGGCCTTTCTACTAGGAGCAAGAACGCTACTAGGGCCTAGGGCCTAGGGGCTAATTAAGTAGGCGCCTACTTCATTACGGGACTAGTTCACTACTTAAGCTTGACATGGACGCAGCTCACAGGGGGAGCTTGCTTGAAGAAGCGCTCGCACGAATCGTTTGGTTCCTAGATTTTTAGGGAAACTTAATAGTGCACTTGTTGGTCAAGTATTCGATCCTACGTTACAATTGTCAGCATGGAAACTGACTAACAAAAAGATGAGCTACCCTATGTCCAATGGTATGATGAGTTCTCTCAAACAGATGCCAGAGCATGTCGTTCCTGGGTCACCTTCCAGATTTCACTATGCAGCAGGGTCTCTATCAAAAGAATGGCAAAAGACCTCCAGTACTTGTTTGTACAATATATTCGCGAAAGAGGGTTGCACCCAGCAGTGTATTCTGCTTTGCTGAGGAACCAATGCTTTCGAGAAGAAGGCGGATGAGGAGTGGCAATCAACCAAAAGTCGAGTCTACGGATAGAGTATGCGGGCAGTGTGCCAAAGACGATCATTGAGTAAGAATCTGGGATGGCTATTGACGGCTATTATAGGATATTCCCGACACCATGGTTTTTTGTGGGTCAGTTGTGTTTTCTTCTTCTTGCCGAAAGGCAAGCAAATGTTGCATTTGCAACAGTTCATCCATACACAACAACTGAGTGTTTTCCCTTGTTTGAGGACGTCCCCGAACCGAAAGCCACTGGCATGCCTTGTTGACAACTGCTGGAAGTGGTGCAACTGGTTGCACGGCTTGTTTTTTCCACGATATATCCCTCTTCGTCGAGAGGTGTCCCGATGAAGTTCAACCAGATGGGACCAGAAGTGTCTTTGTTGGTCGGGAAGACAAAAAACAGAAATGTGTTCAAAGAGATTCTGGTTTCAGATCGGGTGCTTCTCTTGTTGGTAACACGGAGTAGATAAAACACGGAGTAGATACCAAAATGAAAATCATTCGCCACTAGGGGCTCCTGGCATCGCTACTAGGAGCAAAGTGCATCGCTACTAGGAACAAGAAGCTACTGGGGGCTCCTGGCCTTACTACTAGGAACAAGAGGACGCTGCCCTTCGAGTTTAAAGTCTCTTCGAGTTTGTCTCTTCAGGCCCAGGAGGCGAACGATCCCTGGAAGGATCCCCAGTGGATCCGCCACACCCGGAACCTCTTCATGGGGCCTTCGCGTCATAGCTGCAATGGAAAAAATGCAGACCTCACAGGTTTTTGGAGCAAGGAAGGTATGGAAAAAGGGAAAAAGATATATACAAGTTTTTATGTTCAGCAATCTTTGCGAAACACAGCCTCTCATTAGGTTCGAGTTTGCGATTTGCCTACTCCTCGTCGCAACCTGGAATGAACTCGTCGGCAAGCGGGTGGAGGAAGGCGGAAGGAAGGTCTTCAACTGGTTTTGAATTTGTTGAGGATAGGATGTCGTGGAGCCCGTCCATTCGGTCTTCAACAGGAGCTCATTTGGTATATTGGGCTCACACTCTTGAAGATAAGGGTGGAATGGTTCGAAAGCTACTTGTTTGAAGACATAATCTTGTATCTGGTTTAAGCTGAACAAAGATGCAGTGGCAACATCGTGACACATCAAAAGCCGCTGGGTTACAGGAACTGGAGATTTCTTGAGAAACAGGATCTTGCCAACATGCATGCCGCATGCAGAAAGCTCGGATTCCAACGTCAAGAAGGGACAGACCTAGTTCTGAGACATTCTCATTCAGGGCAGACAATCTTACATGCTTTACAGGGTACACAATTTTTGAAAACAGTAGCAAGAAGCTACTAGGAGCAAAGGGCATCGCTACTAGTAACAAGGGCGCTACTAGGGGCTCCTGGCCTTACTAGGAGCGATCGGACGCTACGACGATCGCCTCCAACCAGCAATCTCTTTTGGCAAGATCTTCAAACGACGACCGCTTCCAGCCAGTTGCCCTCAGCAAAGCTCTTGCTCCATTCTTTCTTTGTGAATTTCTGTTAAGAGGTAGCGATCCTCGCCCTCCATCCCATCTCGCCGACTCCAACCGTGGAGCAAGGTGAATTTCATTTTCATGGCAGCGCAATTGCAGGTCCATGGCAACTTGGCAGATCGCATCAAGCTTCGTCTGGCTCCATCGGAGCTTGTGGAAAGGAACGGCCGAGAGAAGGGAAGAAGGTTTCACAGAACCAAAAGATGCTAGGAACAAGGTTCGCTACTAGGGGCTCCTGGCCTTACTACTAGGAGCGATCGGACGCTACTTGGGCACCAAGCGAGCATGGCGGCCAGGTATGGGCGTTGGCCACTCCATCGGTTTCCTTCGCTTTGACCAGAGTCCTGAGGACAGCGATGGCCGAAGAATTATATGTTTGGACAAAACTTCAAAGGCAAAGTAAGGCACTTGTTTCTAATAGCAAACATTGTTACTACTAGTAAGGCACCT